ACACCAGTCCATCACAGGACACAGGACAGGACCACACCCTGGATGGAACACCAGTCCATCACAGGACACAAGGCAGGACCACACCCTGGACGGGACACCAGGGTTTGGACAGAACACTTGTCCATGAACCCAGGACCTGTGAGACGGCAGCTCTTCGCCCTTCTCTTCTCATGTGTGACTCGGTTTACTTCCCCCTTCTGCTGCTGTAGTTTGGGAGGTTAAAAGCTGAGCTCACAGGGCAGCACAAAACTGGTGACAGGAGCTCGACTCACTCGGCTTTGAGCTGAAGAATCTCGTCTTCTGTAGCTAAAAGCGTCGTTGCCGATTTGTTTTTGGTATCATCAAGTTCCAGTTGAGCGTCTTCTAAACTGAAACACATTTTAAGACACGGTTTATTTCTGTTGCTCTGGACAATTCCTAGACGATTCCTGCGTGCCATGAACATCTTTACCCCAGCAATGAGGATATATAATGTTTGGAATAGTCTGTCCTTGGGAAATCACACTCGTGAGTTAGTTAACCAAGATTCACACACATGCACGCATACATACACGTCAATATTGTAAAAATCACCTCCCCATGGGCCTTGCCTAGACTCCTCGCTCGGTCTCGTCCCTCTGACGCTGCGCTCACACTTAAACTCCAGAGAGGCGCGGGACAACAGCTTCGCAGCTACAAAGTGAAACCCGGGATGGACCCTGAGTGTCCCCCCCCCCCCCCCAGAAGAGGAAACTGGGCTCCTGCAGGAGAGACTCACTCCTGTCTGACGGAGTCCAGCTTCGCAGCTACAAAGTGAAACCCGGGATGGACCCTGAGTGTCCACCCCCCCCCCCCAGAAGAGGAAACTGGGCTCCTGCAGGAGAGACTCACTCCTGTCTGACGGAGTCCAGCTCCAGGCGCGTGGAGCTCAGCTGCGATTCCATCTTGTGGATTTCGTGCTCGTGGGACTGAGACAGGTCCCGGATCCTCTTCTCCTTCTCCACGGACTCCTGCAGACACACACGCCGCATTTAAAGACCCGCGCTGCAGGCGCGCCTCTCGTGTGCGCCGTGTGCGCCGGCCCGGCGGCGGTACCTGGATCAGGCTCAGGCTGGTGTCGGCGCTCACGCCCGCGGAGCCCAGGGCGAAGCAGGAGCCCAGCCAGGGCAGGAGGCGCGACTTCAGGGTCTCCACTCCGGCATAGTGGCCTCCTGCAACGTCACAGGGCGGCGTCAGCGGGAGACCGAGCGGGGGGCGGGCGGGCCGGCGGAGGGAGACCGAGCGGGCGGAGGGAGGGGGGCAGGCGGCGGAGGGAGACCGAGCGGGGGGAGACCGAGCGGGCGGAGGGAGGGGGCCCCTACCTTCGCTGGCCGTCTGGCTGAGCACGGCGAAGAGCTGCCCCTGCACCCGGGCCGTCAGCTCCACCAGCTCGCAGCACCGGTTCAGGTTCTGGTCGCAGGAGAGGAGCTGTGGGGGTCCGAGAGACAGGCCTCACTGGGGGGGGGGCTCGGCCTGGAGTTACCTCACCCCCCGGTCATAATTATTCTCCATGATAACACCGGCACAATCTGTCCTTTCAAATTTCATTTTGACTGCCCGCATTCAAACTGCAGGAATGAGCTACATATGAGGCGTTATAGTTCGTATTACTGTGGATGGGACCGCAGGAGTTATATATTGTAACGCAATGGGGGCTCAGGCGGGCGCCCTTGCCGCATTAGGTCGGCCCCATCCCGACTGAGGCTCGAACCCGGGACTCCGCAGTGACCCAGCCCCGTGAGCTAAAGAGAGATCTCTCCACAGCCCAGTAGCTGTGGTCCTGCTATCACAGGGAAGGGCGGTGACGTCACCTGCTCTGGTACGCCGGCTCTTACACAGTGCCTGTCGGCCGTAAGCGTTACAATATATATATCTCGGTACAGTATATTTGAGATTTCCGTCTGAAATCACATCCAGTGACGTTCTAAAAATATGATGCTGCTGTAAACCGTTATAGCAATACGAAGGGAGCTCCGTGCAAACTCTGGAATGATGCAAGTTGTGCACCTCTCACTACAGGTGTGATACACCTGAGGATAGGAGTTTAAGGGCTCTGCAAGGGCGCGCTCGTGTGCTGCCGCTGGGCCGCGGGGACGGCTCCCAGGCACGCGCAGGGCACGGCTCGCGTGTTTCCTGTTTCCCCGCCGGGAAGGGTCTGGCGATCTCCATGACAACGAGCGTCCGTAGCAACCAAACTCTGCGGCGGAACCAGCGCTTTCGACAACAAGGCCCCTAGATGACGACCCTGAACCCCGAAATTCACCGCGAACCCCGTCTCCGCTGAGCACTGTCGCATCGTTCCAATGCGCGCACACACATACACACACGACTTCATCGGGAATTAGTTCAGCCTTTGCCTTCCCCTGTTCCCGTCCGCAGAGATACACGCACGGCGGTCTGTGTACTGGTCGCTGGGGAAGACATCTATACTATATCGTGTGAAACACTCGTCTGAAAATCCGCCACTATCATCCGTGGTAACCGAGGGGATCAGGTGCTGCGCGGAGCACCGCTCATTAACATTTTGCACAATCCGTTTTTGTTTCCCCTTGCAACAACCTGCCTCTTTTTATTTTTTTAAATGACTTTCGCTGGGCAAGACCTGGAAAGCAGAGCGTCTTAAACACTTCTCCATCCCGCCCGCAACAACAACAAAAGAAACAAAGCCCCCAGAAAGCTGTGAGAGGAAGGAAGGAATGAAGGGGAAGGGAGACGGGCGGCTTCGTGGCGACTTACATGATAGTCCTTGAGCCAGGAGTCCAGCTTGTCCTGCAGGGCGCTGAAGGAGGAGGTGCTCACCAGCCTGCGCAGCGTGTCGGCCATCGCTGCTGCTGCTCCAGCCCCGGTCTGCCCCAGCAGCTCAATGGCAGGGCAGCGGGGCTCCCGGCATTTATACGCGGGGGTGTGCAGCAGCAGCACAGCCCCTGACGTCTGCCGATGCTACCACGGACGCCAAGCGCCGCTTCAGTTGTAGCAACGCCATTTCCCAGGATGGAGGAGGAGGAGGGGATCTGCAGGTGGGCGCACGGTGCTGCTCGCTCGCTGGTCGAGGCGACCCGGCGGTGCTTTTATGATAAACACACGCTGTCTGCACGCCTGCCCGCGTTGGTTACACGCACCTCCGTGATGCAAACAAGCCGTGTGCGCGGCGCCCACTGTTGCGTCTAACTACACACCTCCTGTACTGTACACACGGTCAGGTGCCTAAACGCTGAGATTTATTTCCCCCTTTTTTCCCCAAAAAAATAAAAAATGACACCACGCTGTCAGACCAACTACTGGGTATTGGTTCGCCTCGGTAGTTTAAGACTACTCTGCCGTTACGCACAGAGTCATCGCATTATGCAGCGCAACATTAATAGTACGCAACATTACGTGTGGACCGGGCGTGAAGGAACCACGATTATTTCATGATTCCAAAACACAGTCACTGTATTCTTTATGTATAACGGATCGATAATTATAAGAACGACCTACACCAATGCTTTTTATTTATTTATTTTAGAAAAAGCTATACACACGATATGGAAAACGCTGATCGTTAAGTAACTGGCGATGCTACACAGCAAATGTTGAGCGCAGGGTAATAACACCGTCAACAGATAGTCAGGATAATAATAGTGCCGATAATATGAGGCGCTTAAGGAAGCCGGAGCTCTAGTGGGGGCAGTAACTGAAAACAGACGACCCGGAGCTGAACACCAGCCGGGCACAATTCCTATTTGGGATTGTCTTTTTTTAGGGAACACGGCATTCCCGAAACCTCCCTTTTCCTATTGGCTAGGCGGCTCCCGGACTCTACCATTCCGGGATCCGCAGTCCGTGTCCGGAGCCGGTTTAAACTCGGGCTATGGGTGTTCCCGAATATTTCACGCGTGCCACGGATCCCTGACCAGCCCGCGGGCGTGGGCGTGGGCCGTGCCGTGGGCTGTCCCGCACGGCGGCCCGGGCAGGGCGCGGGTGGTCTGGCCCGGGTCGGTCCCAGCTGTCACTCCGCAGAGCGGCGGAGACCAGGCGGCGTCATGGCGTCCGAGCAGGTCGGTTGTGGGACGGGAGAAGTGTTTTTTTT